TTCAGCCACTGTCGTCATATTAAGGGCCCTCTGAGAACCCATTCTCTCTGGAACCATTAAAGAACACTTACTGTTAAGATGCCATGCAAATGCATATACTGAGATAGAATTTAGGAAGTTCTCATCTTAGGCATCATCTGAATATTCCTCTTCAAAAAAACACTAGGCAGCAGCCTTGCAAATGCGTAATAGAAATGTCAGTCCACTGCACCTCCGCTGTGAAGAAGGCAAATTCCAATCTGGTCATTGAGGGCGGACTTCCTGCATCGCATTCCCCTTTGTCCAAATCTCTGGTGCACATGCCCTGAAAGACTTGTCTCCCGTTCTGGTTGTCCCAGCTAAATATCGACATGATTTGGAGAAAGTACAGGAAAGAGAAGGGAAAATTTGTATTTGTAGATTATGATCTACTGATCCCACTGCTGGTTTATTGTGTTATTGTCTTGTTTGTTGTACTGTGCTTATCCTTCTGTTGTGTTTTATATAGCATTGTTATTGCATTACGTATTACGGTTTTGGCTACTATTTTTATATATTTTTACCTGTATCAATACTATGCTTGTGATGTAAGCCACCTAGAGAGCCTTCTGCTGTGGGGTATTATACAAATGCAAACAATAAACAATCTAATAAATAAATATGTTTTACTCAGGATATAGAAGAACTGCCAGATAAGCTGCCCTGGGATGCAGTGATGGCCCCCAATTCCGATGGCCTCAACAAGGGTTCGGGGCAGTGCAGGCGATCTGTGGCTGCGAGCATCACTGAAGAAGGGAGTTTGTGCCTGCACGGATCAGTTGTGGAGGAGCAGGGCAGGCAGAGCCCGTGTGTCCTTGGACATGAAGGAACTCTCACTGGAGAGAAGCCACATAAATGCCTGCAGGGTGCAAAGCCCCTCAGGGACATGGAAAGCCTTAGGAGACCTCAGAGCATTCAAACCGGGAGGGGATATCGCAGAATGTCAGAGTGTCGGAAGAGCGTCAGCTGCTTGGGGATTGTGCTAACCATCAAAGAACACAGACAGAAGGGGGTTCAGGAATGTGTGGACTGTGGGAGGAGCTGCAGGAATCCTGCTGAATGCAGGAGTGCCCTGCTCCCCCTGGTGCTGGGACAGGCCTGGTGCCTGGCCTGCATGGATTTCAGGGTAGATTGGCCCCTGGGAGTTCCATCATTGCTCATTTCAGAGAGAAGCACAAGGCAGGAGTCTTAAGATGTGATCTGGATTTGCCAGGAAGCCCATCGAGTCCAGCATGTTCTTTGCAGAGTGTGGCAAATTTTGATGCAGCAAAGCTGCTGATGAAGTGCTCCATGATACTCTGCCCAGGTAACTAGCTAAAAGTGGGTGAGATGGAGACACTCTGGGGCAGGGGAGTGTCCAGAGCTGGCCACAGAGCTGGACTCGGGGGGCTTCTCAGGGGCATCGTCTCAAACTGTGGAGCCGCCACGAGTGGGCGCCAGGCTCGGTCATGCGCACAGCGATCCTCCCCATGTGTATGAATGGCTGGGACCTCCCCTACATCACGACGCTGAAATGCAGGAAGCCAGAAGGAGCCATGGCTGGATTTGCAGGTTGGGCTGGGGGATCTGTAGAGCAGCTCAGTCCGTGTCCGATCACAGGACCAAACCGTGGGTCTTGCAGCCTGGGCATGTCATGAGCAGAGCTGGCTGGAGCCGGGGGTCAGACTAGATGGCCCAGGAAGCCCCTTCTGACTTGGTCAGTTTCTATGTGTC